CATCCATCCATCCATCCATCCATCCATCCATCCATCCATCCATCCATCCATCCATCCATCCATCTCTCTCTATAAATATTTCTTGTTTTGTGACAGTTGGTGCTCTTTGTTGATTCATATTCAAAGTCTGGTTGTTTTTCATTGTGAATTTATGTTGAAGTTATCTCTTTAACTGAGGAAGGAAACATTAATATGCTTTAAATGTTACACATTGGGGACATTCATTTGCAGTGGCTAAAACAATTAAAACTACACACAGGATTCAATGAAGTGAAAAGAACAGACATTTTTAAGTTACGCTTCAAGGCAGAAATGGGAAATACTGTGCAGTTATTCATAAGAAAAAAGGCAAAATCAGGTTAAACAAAAAAAAAAGCATTAATTATGAATATTAGAATTAAAGTCTTCCAGAGCAGGTAAAAAACTGCAAATAGTCATAAACATCTGGAGCCATTAACATCTGTTTTCCTTAACATCTGTAAGACGCATGAGGGGAATTAGAACAGAGCAAATAAATGACTGAATAATGACTGAGAATGCTGGAATAGTTTAACAGAGAAAATACAAAGAAAAAACTGGCTGAAATCACAAGAGCGTGTTTGTTAGTTTGGAACACAGAGGTGAGAAGGTGCAGCACTTGTTGAACTTGGTTCTTCTCTCAGGAGTGTTTGCCTCCTTCTTTCCATCTGTGTCTGTGGGTTGCTCTGATCCGAGATGAACCCTCTGTGTGGGTGTAACACTCTGCTGCAGTGAGTCCGTCCTAGCAGACAGGTCTACATGAGGAGTACGAGCTGATCTGCTCCCCTCACTGTCTTTTCTTGGGCCAAACATCAACAGAAAAGGAAAAAAAAAAACTCCTTTTATTAAAACTAATTTGACTTAAGTTGATGGAAATTAAGCAAATATAAAAAGAACAGTACATTGTCCTTCTTATGTTTTTGTCACGTTGCAACCATTGAGTTTCTCTCTAACGAGAACAGGGCATTAGCATTAGCGGCAACAGAATGTAGTTCCTAGTGCAACTTACTGAGCTTTTTGATTTGCTAAAAAAAAGCTCTTTTTAAACCTGTTTACAGATAAACAATGAAGCCAGATGTTCCTAATGTCCTCATGGATTCAAAAACTTTATTTATTTAATAAATCCCGTTTTAAAGCTTTATGTATTCATTGTTTGTCCTATCATTGCCTTTTTTCCGATCCCCAATTAGAATCTAATCTGCTTCATGTAAATGTCAGCATAAATATTTATATTTCTGTCATATAAACATGTTTGTAGTCAAACTTATCAACTGTATTTAGTTAAAACTTTAGCTTGAAAGTTAAATGGGTGGGGAAAAAAATAAATCTGCCTTAAGGCAGAATTACCTGTTGAACATGTTTACTTAACTAAATGGCTAGAAAATGACAGTTTTTGATATTTACAGAAGTAAATATGATGCTTTTACAGTGCAAATAATATATATAATTATATATAATTATAATTTAAAAAAACTAGCTATAGAGTTTTGCTTATTCTGTGTTTGTTTGTTTTTTTATGTGATATTCATTACTGAACACAAACTAAAGTGAAAGTGATTTCCTCTGCAGGTGCTGCTGGACCTCGACTCTTCACTATACACCAGATCGACGCCAGCACCAACAACCTGCCCAAAGCCCACACCTGGTGAGGGAACCAGAAGCTTCTCCTTATTTCACCTTTTTTCCACTTTTTTGATTGATTAAAGCAAACAGGAAAATACAGCAGCTTCCTCATTACAGACAAAATATAAAACAATCACAATTTTTTATTTGATTGATTTAGTGTAGGAAAAAGAAAATACATAAACTTACTGAGATGTTTTTTTTTAATTCAGTCCCTTGTACTAAACTTTAGAATCTTTAAAATATTGATGTTTGGGAGTCCTTCCATAACAAGCGTAAACATGTTTGCTAAGCTGTAATGGAACCTTAATTGGAGCTTTGTGTTTTGGTTTTTGGAGACCGAATTTAGGCTTTTCTGCAGCAAAATGTGGGTTTGTGCTAAAATCAGAGATAATATGTGGACATATTGTTACATCTGTGAGGCTGTGGAACACTTATCTACTAAAATCATGGGAACCCTTCACTGTGTGGCATCAATAAGTCTTTGAATACCAGCAAGTTTTACGGCTTCTACCTGAAACCTAAATTGGTTCTGTATCCTTTAACATTAAAAAGCCCAAATCAACACAGAGATGGTTAAACAGAAAGAAAACCTGTCTCCTTCTGTGGTTTCCATTCTGTAGACCTAAAGCCTTTTGAAAGCATGGGCTACAATGGATAGAGGAGGGGAGGGAGGGGAGCCAAAACTTTGCAGGATTTAGAGATATTATGCTTAAAGGAATGTTTAAATACCCCCCTTTTTAAAGCAGCGTATGTCTGATTCCCATGTTAAAGGTTTGCAGCTTCAACCTGACCTGCATGGAGGAGAAGAACAATAACAATGACGTCTCACACAGCACACTTTGGTCCAGGAAAATGAAGAGAAATAAAATGTGTTATGGTTTTTGTAATGTGTCCAACAGAAGCCGTTTAATGAGTTAGTAGGTGCTGATGGGGAATGCATAAATAAAAAGAGTGAAACTCTGTATTCTGGTATTTCAGGGAGCTTTGGCTGCCAGCTCAGCATAAAGCTCTATTTGGGTTGGGGGAACTTCAGGAATCTGAGGGCAACGTTTCGCTGTATATGTCAGTGCCTCTGCTCTCGACGCCTTGGCTAGAAAACTGGTGACGGGCAGATTACCTGACGCGCCGTAACCTCATTGTACATCACTTATTTTCCCAATATGAGCCGTCCAGTTTGGATTAGAGAAAAGTTTAATTTTAAATCCTAAAGGTATTGTGGAGGATTTTTCACACATTTTTTGAAAGACCCACCCACTACACTTTAAAACAACACACACATGCACAACCCTTTACCCACTCCTGAGAGGGAATGCCTATTAAACACATGCAATACCCTGAACAAGCCCATTTCACCTTGTGCACACTATGTTTAAAAGCTGCTGTTCTAACAGCTCATACAAGCTTACTGTGCCCGTACCTCTGCCCTAAAGGGCTGGTTATCCTCCCGCAGCAGTGTGTTGCAGACATTTTTGATTTATGCTCAATTTTGAAGTGTGGTCTGCACTATGTTATTCTATGCCACAACGTAAAAGGGAAAATCACGAACTAGCCGTGGGTCTAGATACGGCAGGGGCGTAAGGGCGAGTTTGTCCGACAACGGAGGGACATGAGGGCGAAAAAGAGCGGGTATCCAGGTGGAAAAAAGGTCCTAGCGTTCTCGCGCACCTCTTTCTTCTAGCTGCTCCATCTTCACGAGTTGTTTTCCGCAATTGCGGTCATACAAACAAAACAAGCCGGCAAGCGGATCTAGGTTTGACCAATCAGAGGCCTCCTGTCTGCGGCACTATCTGCAGTCACCTACCATTTGGGAGAGGTGCACTAGAGCAGCGGTCCCCAACCACCGGGCCGCACAG